TCACAGGCGTTTGGTCTTCTCATCACAGGCGTTGGGGCATCCGAAATCCCCGTGAGAGGCTGGATACAAAACTGGACCTGACGAACGCCATTTTTCTCGGGACAAGCGTCCCGAGATAACAGCAGAAAGGCAGATGGGAAATAATTAGCATAGCTGATGTTCATAATGATGTTCATAACGCCATTTTTCTCGGGACGCTTGTCCCGAGAAAAATGGCGTTATGAACATATTATAATATGAAAATAAACTAAAGCATTTAAATAGATCTAATAGTTAAATATATATAACAGCAGAAAGGCAGATGGGAAATAATTAGCATAGCTGATGTTCATATATCACTTCAATTCTTTTTTTTTTTTTTTAATATTATATTATAATAGGCCTATATTGTATTATATTATAACCCTAAATAAAGAATCTCTCAAAGATATTGTTTAGGTTAGGCCTATATTTTATTATATTATAAGCCTAAATAAAGAACCTCATATTGTTTAGGGCTGTTTCTGCTCATATGTTAAATATATAGTATGTTTTGAAAAAAAAAAACTAATCAACTGTTATCCAATACAAGCTAATGCAATGCACGTATCAAAATAATGAATTCTTAACTTTGAAATAAGTATGATAAAATGTATTGGCCTAAAAATGTTTTTTGACTTTATATTTTGATTATATATATATATATATATATATATATATATGCTTAGATTTTGTGGGCATTTAGAGAGGAAGAGAGAGATATAGAGATAGAGATAGAGAGAGAGTAGAGATTATTAGATTAATTTCTCTCCCAAAGTTTACTTCTTAAGCATCAATATTTTGAAAAAAAATATATATATGCAAGAACTGTTGCTGAATTATTTTAAACAGATTAAGAAAGCCACCACTGCTGGTCACATGGTTAGATTGATTTGTTTAGAGCTAGTGAAGTCGCGTCCTACCACTTTAAGGATTTTACTTTAAGGGGGTGGGGGGGGGGGTTGACTGCTTTTTTTCTTTGCATGATTGTGTTTATGGGGTGCAATATAACATGTATTCGTGGTTTTTCTTTTTCTGTCCTCGAAAGAGCAGTTGACTTCCTGAGTCTATGGAACCACTCCTTCAGAAACACGCAGTGGGCTCAGATTGGTTAGTTTGGCCTGGTGTGTTGTAATTGGCTAAACTGTCGCTCACGTTGTCCGGAAGGTTAACGCCCATTACCTTTACGAGCGAAACGTGCATGTCATGAGCTCCGGTCCAGAAGTAAATATGTGTCGAACTGCAGTATCAATTTGAGGCATAATCAGACCGAGAAAGCCGCGATGAAGAGAGTCAAACAGAACCTCACCACACACGGCTCTTACTTAACGTTTCTGAATGATAGTTTGCTACATTTTTTAACTTTATACATGTTTGTTTTACACAATAGCATCTGACTGGCAACAATAGCAACTGACTGGCTACTATGTTATACTCAAACAGCGCTGGCAAGTTTACGTTCTTGATCAAATCGAAAATAACGTCATAAAACATCTATACATACATCTATACAACATCTATACGAAAAATACATTTACAACATTAGTCCCTATACAAAATTCAGGTTTGTCGTGGACACAAAATAGCATAACTAGTAGCCAAGTGGCAATAAAGCCAGCGCTGGCATTTGAAAAAAATAAAACACAAGGCTACTTCTGGAATTATACATGCAAATACATTTAAAATGATTAAGTCTTAGCCTACTTACAGGTTGTGGCCCAACAACTGCTGCCTCTTGTTTTAAAGTTTCAACTTCATGTCAACTTCAGCTTCATGTTTTAGTAAAAGTTTCTTGTTGAATCCGGCATTGAATTCGTGGAGATTTTTAAGCTGTCTTCCGTAAAATGCGCAGCACAGAGAGCTAAATTACGATCGTCATTTTCAGGAACATAATCAAACATAAATTCTATCCATTGTTGACGAAGTACATGTACGTCCTTGGGATGCCTGAACACAGAAGACCTGACAGCTGGATGAACACAACACACTCGACGTGCTGCAGAAATATGCGCATGCCCTTTTTTTGCATATTCCGGAGGGAGGGGTTGATGCAAATGTGTGGGTTAGTGACGTCTAAAACCCAGCTGTAGTCCCAATCGAGTTGTTTTTGTAGGAAATATACTTCCTGATTTTTAAAAGACGATATCTCTGCTTACACTGAACTTTCAGCGCTGCAACTTTGCAGATACTGTTCATGCACCAACAGCAACATTACAGACTATTTAAAATGAAAAAAGTTAAATCGCAGTCAACCCCCCCTTTAAGTAACATTATGGCACGGATGTACCTAATACAAATAAATAAAACATGCAGTTAACTAGCAGAGGGTTAAAAATCAAATCGAAATCTAGCGCTAAAATGTGTTTCTTTGTTTTTGAACTCAAGCTGAGCGCTCGTTGCCGTGGCAATCAGTGGATACAGTGTTCTCTGTAGCTCGCGCAGTCTTTCGGGTGCACACTTCAATCTATCGCTGTTGCGGACGGACTCTATTCTTTCCGGTGATTTTACGGGCTGATCAGAGAGGCTGCACAGTTTGACAAGCAGACAGTGGCGTGGTACACACATTGCAGATGGATTGCTAGTGAATTGCTTTTTCACACACCTTGTAGAATTGCCAGACTGCTGAAGCCATTTTTACCAGGGCATAAAAAATTGTCTCGCGAGTTTTGCGTCATCTGATCGGCTTTTCTGGATTGGCCTTTATAGAGACTGCTTATCACACATCCCAAAGCAATTATCGGCTGATTGTGATCGGCAACCCATCAATCAGAGCACCCTTAACTACAACACATCACATCACCACATCAGTAATGAGTGAGTCATTTTATTTTAAAGGTCCCCTTACATGAAATTTTCATTTTCTGAGGTTTTTTAACTTTAATATGAGTTCCCCTAGACTGTATTTGGTTCCCTCGTGGATTTTCAATCGGTGTAAACCGAGCTTTGGCTATTTTTCTCTTCTCTGCATCCGTCTGCATCTCAGACGCACTGATCTAGAATCTCCCCCTATATAACGTCATATAGGGGAAAGGTTACTCCCCTTTCTCTGCTTTGCCCGCCCAGAGAATTTGCCCCGACGATGAGAAAACGAGCTAGGAACAGGAAGTACGAATACGCGCAGGCACGATTTTATTTTTTCCTAGAGAAATAGCTTTGAGATTTGAGTTTTTCCTCGAGAAATATCATGGCTTGCAAACGAGCGAATCATGGCAGTTGCTCAGTGTTCGGATGTACAAATGAACACAAAAGTATTTTTTAGTTCCTTCATCCGAGTCTCTGAAGAAACAATGGGTTAATTTTATTTTCTCTGGAAATGCGCCGACTCTACTCCCAGAAGTTTTGTATGATCCAAACGGGCAGAAGACAGGTAATTTAATCTTTCTCTCAAAATCGTTCGATACTGTTTATGCATCAGTAAGTCAAGCCAGACTATTATCAACTTCACGTCATTTCTTTGAGTAGGATGAAAATAATCTTATTTAAAGAAAGTGTTTAGCAGGATGATATTCAAAACGGTAAGCACGCGCTGCTTTGTTTACGTTATGTGTATCTGCAGCCGGCAGCGTCGGTTTTCCTTTTTGAATGACGAATATAGACTAATATATCTGCAGAAATAGACATTTGGCTTATTAAACGCAGGTGCAGAACGCACATTTAGCTGACGGCTGTAGTTCTCTCGATGTGTTCAAGTGCATCTTTTTACCTCGACGAGACCGGACGAGTTTCGGGCTTGTATCGGGCAGATGTAATATGTGTTTGTGGCTAGAATTTTCACGTGATGAAATACAGAGATCTGACAATGACACGCAAGCATTTCATTAGTCCAGTGGCAGAACATTTGCCAAGCGTGCTGCGTGACAGAGGTTCTGGGTTCTAATCCGCACTCGTATCATTTTTTTTCTATCTCTGATTAAAACCGATTATGTTTATCAGTTGTATGTTTGTGTGCATTTTACTTTGTGATTTCACCGGATCGAATATGAGTCTCCACAACGGATTAAAGCGCGAGTCCGTGTGAAGACTGAGTGCGACAGCGCGAGCCACAAGAGAACTGTATCAACGCCACTGATCGCAGCGGCAACGAGCACTTTGATCACTTGTTTTCAAAAGCAACACATTTCAGCGCTAGATCGCCTCTTATTTGAAGAAACGAACTAAATGAATGCTCTGCTAGTTAACTAGTGATGATTTATTTATTTGTGTAATTTACATCCGTGCCGCGAGAGATGTTTCAAAAGTGGTGGGGACAATATCGACCCTGGCTAAAAGTGGTGGGGACATGTCCCACCCGTCCCACCCGCAAATTACGCCTATGCGATTCAGTAATCTCGATATCTGTAATAGTAAAAACGTATAATAGCTGTAGTACGTATTCAAGAGAGTTTCACATGTAATATGTAGCTATTTCATATGCAAGCATGTCAGCCAATCACAGCAGTGGGCGGTTACATTGAATTCCACTGCAGACACGCCCCTTCAAACAGACCGTTCTAAGCAGAGGCTAAAATCAGGCTAGGAAAAATGCCTTTTATTTCTAAATTATGACTATTTTTGATCTAAAAAACATACTAACATTATAAGGGCAACCCAGGAAACATTATAAAATAATTTTTTAAAAAAACATGTCATGGGACCTTTAAATTGGAAATACTGTACATCTCAAAGCACAGTGCAAGTAGTCAATTCAGACTGAACAAATAAATTGCTTAAACAACAGTTAATGTGCTTTAAACTCTGAGGAAGTTTCCTGGCAGTCTGGGCTCTTTGCCTGCATAGCCATCAAATTCCGTCCAGTTAAAGCAGTGCCAGGTCAGACACCCTACCACGAAAAAATCACCTAATGTATGAATGAAGTAGGATGCATTTAGTAGGATGCTGTCCTTGCTTTCATGGTTTATTTAGGTGAAATTATTTGTTAAGTGGTAGCTGGAAATACTCAAGACATTTTCCACGTTTTTCTAATGTGTTTCTCCTCTGTGCAGGTGTTTTCTGAAGCTGGGAGAATGGCAGCTCAGCCTTCAGGGTATCAATGAGAGTACCATCCCTAAAGTGCTACAATATTACAGTCACTCAACGGAGCATGATCGCAACTGGTACAAGGTATGTCAACCTCACAAACTTTAAATGTATGTGGATCAATCTCATGAAACCTGTCAAGAACATGTCCACGTTGTCACCCCAAAATTTGATTCTCATTGATCCTCATTAGATGTTTATGAAATCACGATGCATATATACTTAATTTAAATAAAACTGTTTGACCTCAAATACAAATCCAATAACAATGTAGGATTTAGCAATTTTAGTAAACATCTAAAACAATGAAAATATTAGTAGTAATAAAAGTAGTAATTTTATGAACATTGTCAGTCGGCTTTTGCTTGGCCAGTGAAAATAGCAAAAAACAGGGGTTAGACCACGAAGAGGTCATTTCACCTGTGTAGGAGTTTTTTCAAAAAATGAATGCATTTTGGAAACCCCAGTCTGTAGGACGGTACGTGTTTTTTGCTTTTGTAGAAGTGGTCAGTAATGACCAAAATATTATATCACAGTATGAGTAGGTCTGTTTGTTTCTATTGTAGTTTCTCAAGTCAAGTCAAGTCACATTTATTTATATAGCGCTTTTCACAATACAGATTGTATCAAAGCAGCTTCACACTGATAACATGAAAGTAGCACAACACAGATCAACAACATTGCTAAACACTAAATAACCCCAACTGAGCAAGCTCAAAGCAAGCCAAAAGCAAGGCGACAGTGGCAAGGAACCAAACTCCATCAGATTGGATGGAGAAAAAACCTTGGGAGAACCCAGGATCAGTTGGGGGCCAGTTCTCCTCTGGCTTACATTCATATTGTTTAAATATAAATATTAAATATAAATATTGTTTAGGAGTGGTCTTTTGTAAAAGTTTCTAAGTTTTTACAATTGGAATTTGACTATCCTCAAGACCACATCACAAACTAATACTAGCATTTTATTTCAGTTTATGTTTATCTTATTTCAAGTAAAAAAAAATAATAGTTTGATTTTTTTTTTATGTTTTTTTTAGCTAACTTTTTTATTAAGCTTCAGAAAGCATTTTTTTTCTAACATTATAAAGTTCAGCCATCGTGTTTTGACAACACCTTAAATTTAATCAATAAAATAATAATTTGAATAATAATGTGTGTTTTTTTTTTTTTGCAAATTAGCCCAAAAATTTAACTATGTATATTCCATTATGATCAATAAAAGTATTTGGATCATTTAACTGATTTGGGAGATTCCTGACTGAATTGGTCTTAGACGTCCTGCCAACACTCGTCCATGTAAGTCTAGTGAAAACATCTATAGGATATTACTCTGCCATAGTCAATAATATCCTAATGCTGATCCAGCACTTAATTAGGGCAAGTAGCTGTGATCATCATGATTATGGACTCCTTTTATGAGCAAAACGAAAAACAACTCAAGTGCGATACAAAAAAGTATTTTAATAACACAAAACTTTTCTAACATATACAGTGCCCTCCACAATTATTGGCACCCCTGTTTAAGATGTGGTCGAGGACTTTTAAAAATTCTCCCTTTTTTTTAAACAACATAGAATCCAAATGCAAAAAAAGAGAAAAATCCAACCTTTTATGTAAGTACATTACTTAGGTGGTAAAAAAATTTTTTTACATTTAGAAAAATAAAAACTTCAAATCCTGTGTCCCACAATTATTGGCACCCCTAACAATTCTGCTGAAAAATGTAATTGATTTTTAAAAAAATATATTTTCTGTAGTTGCTAATATTGGTCAGGGTATCTAGGAACTTTTAATTAGTAATTCATGACTTCCTATTTCCCTGGGGTATAAATATGACATGACACAGAGGCCTAATTCTCTTACCCATTTGTCAACATGGCAAAGACAAGAGAACACACCATTCAAGTAAGGCAGATGTGTGATGACCTTTATAAGTCAGGCAATGGCTACAAGAAAATAGCCACTCACCTTATCTTGCCCGTATCTAAAGTTAGAGGAATCATTAAGAAGTTTAAAACAAACTGGAACAGTGACAAACAAGGCTGGAAGAGGTCCCAAGTTTATCTTGCCACAACGCACAGTGAGGAGGATGCTAAGAGAAGTAAAAAAAAGTCCTAGGCTCACTGTCACAGAATTGCATCAAATAGTGGCATCTTGGGGTCACAAAATCTCCAAAACAACCATCAGACGCTCTCTACATGCCAACAAGATGTTTGGGAGGCATGCTAGGAAAAAGCCTTTTCTCACTAACACTGATAAACGTAAACGTCTGGAGTTTGCCAAGCGGCACTGGGACTTCATCTGGGATCGTGTGCTTTGGTCGGATGAGACTAAGATTGAGCTTTTTGGCAACAAACACTCTAAGTGGATCTGGTGTAAAACAAAAGATGTGTATGCCGAAAAGTACCTCATGCCCACCGTGAAGTATGGTGGAGGATCTGTGATGCTGTGGGCCTGTTTCTCTTCCAAAGGCCCTGGGAACCTTGTTAGGGTGCATGGCATTATGAACGCTTTGAACTACCAGGACATTTTAAATAAAAACCTGATGGCCTCTGCCAGAAAGCTGAGGATGGGTCGTCATTGGGTCTTTCAGCAGGATAATGATCCAAAACGTGAGGCAAAATCTACACAAAAATGGTTCAGTCACAAACTCAAGGTCCTCCCATGGCCATCTCAGTCCCCAGACCTCAATCCAATCGAAAACCTGTGGGGTGAGCTAAAGAGGAGAGTGCACAAGAGAGAGCCCAGGATACTGGATGATCTAGAAAGATTTTGCAAAGAAGAATGGTCAAAGATCCCTCTCTCTGTGTTCTCCAATCTTGTGAAATGTTATAGGAGGAGATTAAGTGCTGTCTTGTTGGCAAAAGGGGGTTGTACAAAGTATTAACATCAGGGGTGCCAATAATTGTGGGACACATGATTTGAAGTTTTTATTTTTTTAAATTTAAAAAAAAAATTTTACCACCAAAGTAATGTACTTAAATAAAAGGTTGGATTTTTCTCTTTTTTTTGCATTTGGATTCTATGTTGTTTAAAAAAAAAGGGAGAATTTTTAAAAGTCCTCGACCACATCTTAAACAGGGGTGCCAATAATTGTGGAGGGCACTGTATGTATATAGTTTTGTATTGGAAGAGGGTTAAAGCTGAAGTAGAGTAACAGTTAGAGTATTTGATATTCAGAGTTTATCTGGTGTAGAGACTGTCTCTGCTTGTTTGCAGTTATTTTTTTATTCAAAACACGATGTCTGTAAAGACTATTTATTTGAAGACCGGAGAACTGGTATTTGCCGTCTAGTTATAGCCAATACGTAGCCATGTGTGTAACACTTCGTCTTTTATCCATATCAATATCATTCTAACCTGTAAGTTGATACTGTAAAAACATAATGTGATGCCCTGACAGCCACAGATCATGTGGCTGTCTAATAATGGACAAATAACAAATCTCTGACATTTGCTGGTGATAAACCTTGTAACTCCATTTGAACTTGACACACTTCTGACCACACTTAAAGCCACAATACTAACTTTGACAACAAGGTGTTTAATCGTAAAAAAGTTTTACACTAACCTACGATTTCCACGTGGATATAGCCATACTAACATATCCTCAAATAAACTTCTGTGATCCAACAGCACATTGCCTCGCGAATTACATAGAATGACTTAAAGGATTAGTTCACTTTTGAAAAAACTTTTGCTGATAATTTACTCACCCCCATGTCATCCAAGATGTCCATGTCTTTCTTTCCTCAGTCGAAAAGAAATTTAGGTTTTTGATGAAAACATTCCAGGATTTTTCTCCATATAATGGACTTCAATGGGAACCGGATGGTTCAGGTCCAAAAGATAGTGTTAATAACAGTTTCAGATGCAGCTTCAAATGTCTTTAAACGACACCAGACGATGAATAAGGGTCTTATCATGCGAAACGATCGGTTATTTCAATGCTTATTCCAAAAATGTAACTTTTCTAAGGACAAATGCTAGCCTTTCTCCATTCTGTGAGGCGCGTTTGCAACGTCACGTAGTATGTAATTACGTTCAAAAGGTCACGGGCGACGTAGCCAGAAGTACAGAGTCAGAGTGTTTACAAGTTGAACGCATAGGTTTAACGTGAAAACTAACTCAAACGCCTTTTACAAAAAAGGAATTAAAAGGTAAAACAGCGATGTCGGACGATTTTTATTCTGTACTTCCGGCTACGTCGCCCGTGACCTTTTGAATGTAATTACGTATTACGTGACGTTACAAACGCGCCTCACAGAATGGAGAAAGGCTAGCATTTGTCCTTAGAAAAGTTACATTTTTGGAATAAGCTTTGAAATAACCGATCGTTTCGCATGATAAGACCCTTATTCATCGTCTGATATCGTTTAAAGACATTTGAAGCTGCATCTGAAACAGTTATTAACTGTCTTTTGGACCTTGAACCATCCGGTTCCCATTGAAGTCCATTATATGGAGAAAAATCTTGGAATGTTTTCATCAAAAACCTAAATTTCTTTTCGACTGAGGAAAGAAAGACATGGACATCTTGGATGACATGGGCGTGAGTAAATTATCAGCAAAAGTTTTTTCAAAAGTGAACTAATCCTTTAACAGCTGAGCACGGGCATTTCACTCACGTTGGATGCGTCAACGTCACGTTTGCATAGGTCATACCATCTAAATTCTTGAATGGTTGACTACCCAATTAAAATCAATTGAAATCAATCAGCAGAACAATAAAATAACATTATTAACTGGTTAATGGTAATTTCGAATAAGGGTTTCTGTTAAGAACATTTAAACTTGATTTTGTTTTCATTTTTTGTTTATATTCCTGTTAAAATTTAATTCGTTTTTGTTTTTCTTTCCTTGAACTGGTTCGGAGCCCTGCTTTAAAGATGAACTGGTTCATGAACACATCAAAGCAAAAAAAAAGGGCATTACAATGCAACACATTGCAATAGATGCTTCAGTAACATACAGCATAGTTATGCATTCGTTCAGAAAAACAAATGTACCAGTTTAAAATGTTTACTTTGATGTGTCCAGTGTAGACAGCCTCAAGTTGTGGTGCATTGTGTTAAAAATTCTTCCGGTGTAGATATGTTGGATAGGTTTATTATAAGCGAGATACGTTAGTCTAGAATAGACAATTGCTTACACATCACATATGACACAATTAAAAGTAATCCTAAAAAATAAATTCGTAATATGTTGGAATTTTATTTCATTTAGCTACATTTACCTATTGAGACATGCCATCACAAGCTCCCGTAAGAGCTGTATTTGTGATATTTTAGTTGGAGGCCATATGTTTACAAAATATGCTTTATTTTTGTATTTTGTTAGCTGCCACTAGTGTCACACAAACTACAAACAGTACTTCACCTTTAATATATCAAATCATAAAAAAAGTCTGAGTCTTTCACATCTTGCCTTAATGAAAAGGAATCCTAATGCCATAATTGGGGCTCCAGTAGATCTTTAGTGACTTTGTATTGATGGCAGAGAACCTGGTTGATCCAGAAGATCTTTGATTCAAAAGACTTATAGCTCAGCATCCTCATATACTATATACCTCAATACTAACATAAAGGGGTTGGACAATAAAACTGAAACACCTGGTTTTACAACACAATAATTTGTTAGAATGGTGAGGGCCTCATTTTGCATCCAAATACAGCACCAAAAAACACCTCAATAATATTCAGATCTGGTGACTGTGCAGACCATGGGAGATGTTCAACGTCACTTTCTTCATCAAACCCTTCTGTCACAAGTCTTGCTGTGTGTGTTGGTGCATGATCATGCTGATACACGGTTTGAGCATCAGGTGCTCATGATCCTCCAGAAGGGTTTGGTAGTCCTCGGCAGTGTCATGTCAATCAAATACAATCAGGATTGTCATGATATTGGAGCTCAAACCATCACTGATCCACCCGTGCTTCACTCTGAAGATTGGCCGCCAGGCATATAGATGTGAAACCTCCAACATTGGCCAGTGTTTCAGTTTCATTGTCCAACCCCTGTATAAAAGAGTTAGCTAAATAATATAAATGAACTTAAAATTGCATTACAAAGATACCAAACATACTATGCATGTGATCAACTAAAGCAACTACAACAACTATTCTAAAACATTAGTTTGAATTAATAGAGGCAAAACAATATAAAAGGAAAATCAAAAATATGAAGTACTTAAAATAACCTGGCTGCACAAGTGTACACCCCCCTTAGCTAATACTTGATTTAATTACTTTTTGCTTTTGATACAGCTGCCAATCTTTTTAAATAAGAGTCCATAAGCTCATCCCACTTTTGTTTGTTCTCCCCCCACCCCCACACACACAAACACTCCTTGCAAAAGAGCTTCAAATCATATTTCGAGGGGATCTCCTGTGTACATCCCTTTCCAAGTCATTCACCAAGTTTTTTTTTTTTTTTTTTTTTTCACTTTTACATGGATTAAAAAAACCAAGCTAACAGCTAAACTGTTTAGTGAAGTTATGTGTATTTGGAGCTGTGATGTTCTTTTCAATTTTGTCAAAACCTGAGATAAAAGAGATTGCCTCTGCAGGCCTGGCACGCTTGGGCAGTAATGAACTTTGAGGCCGTGCTTCACTACAAGCACCAAAACCAGGGCCGGGATGAAAAGAAAAAACTACGACACTTAAGTGGTGCCAGTGCCCACAGCGAAGCCAGTAACAGTGACAGTGAAGCAGACAGTACAGAGCACAGTCCCGTACCCTCCCCTGGACAGAAGAAAGTCAATGAGGTGAGAAACAAACCAAAGCCAGACATCAAACACGGAAGTATTATTTGAAGTTTGTGTGCAAAGCTTCTCCAATATTCACCTTTACTGCATTTTCAAACAACTTGTAAACAATTTTTATAAAAACAAGTCTAAAACAAGTTCTGTCATGACAACTCTTGGGAGATTGTTATGGTAATAGAGATTGGCATGGTAAGGGAAATGGCAATGTTAATGTTTTTGGTCTTGGCGGAATAGATCTGCTACACTGCTGCTGCTGCAGAGCACGAGACTTGCCACTGCCAATACCTTAACTGTGAGTATTGCTGTGAGTATGTAAGAAATTCTGCTGCTGCTGCTGCTGCATATGCAGCATACATGAATTAACCCCCATAGCAGATTTATAAAGGTGGAGCTGGGGAAGCTTGAGGGAAAGCTCGCTGCATACTGCTACCAGCAACACTACCCGTATTTGTTAGAATGTTGAGCCCCAGCTCATTGCCTGTTGATGCAACAACAAACAATGAGCTGTGCTATGTAGATAATGACATGAACGCTACCAAATGAGTTAGACCTATCAGATTGTGCAATCTAGAGTTGCCAGAACTAGGTAATAAACAAGTTTACAAGTTTTAAACAAGTTTTTAATTGGCTTAATGCTTTTGCTGTTTATTTCCCAAGATTGTCATGACAGATCTTGCTTAAAGTCAGAAGTTAGCACATGCAACACACATAAAAGGGTATGCGAAGGGAATAACATGGATTTACAAATACAAAATTTACAAATTATTTTTATTTATGTTGGCATTCATGTAGTTAATGGTTGAATCGTATGATTTGTATGTTTCAGGATTTGTCCAAGACTCTTCTTCTGTATACAGTACCTGCAGTGCAAGGATTCTTCAGATCTATCTCACTCTCACGTGGAAATAACTTACAGGACACTTTGAGGTAAGTCAGCACCTATGGTGCTTTTCCACTGCTGGTACAGCTCAGTACGGTTCGGCTCGGCATGGCACGGTTCGGCTCGCTTCACTTTTCACTGCATGGTACGACTCGGCTCAGCACGCCAAGGCTCGGTTTGCTTTTCCACTGCAGTTAGTACCGCAAAGTGGGGCGGGATTATAGTCTGACCGTTATAGTTTATCCACTCCTCGGCAAACAAAAAGAGGAACGTCTCACTTCATCCACTGACCACGATTCAGTCATTTTTTTTGGAAGTTTTCTTTCTTTTTTCTTCAAGCAAGTAGTTTTAAAACAGGTGGTACAGCGGTGGATGTTACTGGCTATTTAAATTTATCAGGTTTGATGTCTCGCAAATACAATGACGCTGGTAGTGACGATTCTGTCTGTCCTGCACCATCTGCAGTGTCACGTCACATTTTAATATCAGTATGGTACACTCGGTACCATGCAGTGGAAAAGCGCCATTAGTAGTCTAGGCGACACTACAATCCTGTATGTATATTTCTGAGTCTGTTTAGAGGCTGCAATCTTGTTTTAAACTGTGCTGAAACACAACAGTTTTCACTTAGACCAGGGGTGCCCAATCTTGTTCATTGAAATCTACCTTCCTGCACAGTTCAGTCCCTGCAATGATCAAACACAACTGAACCAGCTATTTAAGAGTGTGTTCACACTTGTAGTTCGGTTCTCTTGGTTTGTTTGGCCCGATTTATATATTTCACCACAAAACTTACCGAACATCCAAAACAATGATGTGTGCTGGGCTTAATGCACTCATTGTATGTGCATAGCCCGCATATGCTGGTATTTTGACCGTCTGAGAACTCGTGAAGAGCTTATAAAATGTGTAAAGGAATCCCTGTCACACACATAAACGAAGATCTGCTGCGTTCTTAATTTTTAGATGACACTTCTAAATCCTTTACCAAATTAAAACTTAAATTAGCACACACATTATTTGTATTATTCTTTCTTTTGTGTATTTGCTTGTTCACCTGACAATTCACGGCATTTATGACAGCGTATTGACTATGTACTGTCTCCTGCAACCAAAAGGAAGAGATGAAAATGGGTAAATGTAAATTCAATAATTGTAAAAGTTGTGTGTGATATGTATCGTCTATGATGATATCGCAATTATTATTATTTTAACTATGCAAGAGTTTGTCACTCGTGCTTTCGTGTGACGTACAATGCAGTTTTAGTTTTTTAGTAACTGAATCGTATCCGCGTTTTGAACTAATCAGTTTAATTAATGATTCAATGACCCATTCAATAAAGATGGTAACTTGCTTCGTTCCTGAATAAATCAGCCGTTTGAAAGAATCGGTTGAATGAATGACTCACTCATTAAGACAGTGACTTGCTGCCATCTACTGTTTCATATTTATAGTTTCATATTTTATTTTCATATTTAAAGTACCTTTTAATTAAAAAGTTTAAATTAGAAATGATTATATATTTAAATACTGAATTTTGGACTGTAAAGATGGATTTTGTTGATAATGTTTCATTTGATTGGTAACAGCCTTGTACTGTGTTGTTATTTTAATTGAATTGAATTTGAATGTTAGAATTTGACATAAAGGTGATGTATACATATAATAAGTTAATTTACCTTAAGTTAATTAATAAGTTAATTAATAAGAAATTACCTTATATAGGTAATGCCCCAAGAAATCAATTTAGGGTTGCAAAAAATATTGCCCTTTAATAAAAAAAAAGTTAATTTCTGTCACTGCTGTGAACTGACCATTGCATAGTATATGAATATTATGAATGGTTTTGCATCAGCTGTCCACAATGTCCTTTGATGGAGTCTAAATCCTGACTCTCATAAATGACATTTATCAACAAAAATAGCTCATTGAATATTTTATACAGAAAGGGAATGGAATTTGAAATGGGCGTATAATTAACAAGGATTAAGTTATAGTTTCTTGATGAGTGGTTAAAGTAACCATTAAATCAACTTGGACAATTCTTATGCCTTCATAATCTTTAATCAAAATGACTTCCCCTTCCCCCTCCAAGGACATCTCTTCTCTTTTGACGTGTTCTTCTGCACAAGGGCAGAACACTCCCCTCCAGCAACCTGTCACTCACATGAGATCACAGCAGTGGCAGATGATTTCAAGATTTCAATGTTCCAGTCAATTCCCAATGAACAAAATTAAATTCCACAATTTTTTTTCTCATTTCAGAAGCTATTTTACTTGGATATACATTACAATAGGGAAGAAAAGAAAAATGCTACTTCCTTTTCATGCCAACTTAAATAACTGCCAGCATGAATGTCCTCGGAACGTATCCTAAGAATATAGTTCATTGTATTGAGAATTGAGAAGAGTTCTAAAACTACAGCAACCACCTTTTTTATATAGTTTAGTGGGCATTTTGACGCTGTAAATTTTTTTGGGGTTTTCTTGACCCATAGGAGTGAGAGAATGAAACTGCACTTGTGGGATGATATGAGATGCTTTCTCTAATTATGCAGCAATATATACTTCTGTAGAGCACCAAACAAAAAATAATTGAAATATATTGAATTCAAATACAATTCATGGAGTAATTTCAGACTGTGTATGACCATGCCTTTGTTCCTTTACATTTAGAGTCCTGACCTTATGGTTTGATTATGGTCACTGGCCTGAGGTGAATGAAGCTCTAGTTGAAGGTATTAAGACCATTCAAATAGACACCTGGTTACAGGTAAGACCATTTCCAGCTTTCTATACATAAGTTTTCTATACATTTTGCAACAAAAATGCTCATAAGTTTAATAATTAAAATCTATTACCATTGGCAGCAGCACTTTGTGTTCAAATGTGTTTTTTTCAGATTTGATCAGATTTGTAGATCTGCACATATCTAGCTAAATGTATTGGGTTTTGTGCTTAAAATAAGTAAGATCAATTTGGTAATGAGGTAAGAAAGAAAAACGCAATTTATGAAGTCTTAATACTTTGCACAGTTTTGCTTCCCAAACAAATGTATGTTAATTTAAAGGATTTTTGCATATTTTTACTGGAAAACAAGGCAAAAATACTGATATTAAAGAAAATTGCTTAACGGCAGTTGCTTAATTGCTTAATTTAGCTTAAAATCGCTGCAAAAAGAACATATATTATCTTCCTCCTTGCAATCAGGTCATCCCTCAACTGATAGCACGAATTGATACCCCACGTGCTCTGGTGGGACGTCTTATTCACCAGCTACTCACCGACATTGGCCGCTACCACCCCCAGGTATACATAAAAATGAGTAATGATCACTATGCATTTGTTAGAGTAATGCACATAGAAGCTCCCTCTCCATGAAAGGCACATTTTTATCATCTTACATCTTCTTATTTAAAAAGAAATCTGGTGAAAACCTGTTAATTGGACCGTTAGAAGTACTATGTTGGGAAGCTACATACTGTTGAATAGAGATCTGATACACTTTACACATTCACAGTGATACCCAGTGCAGTCGGTTACATTAGATGATGTAAGGGAAAGTATTGCAGTATTTCATTACTGCATATAGCAAAAAAATAAATATTTTCACATAATTCAAGAAGAGTTTTTTGTTGTTGACTGTAGTTTGTGTACTTGATAGTTTTCTGTCATTTAAAAACATAAGCAAAACCAAAGCTCCAGATTATGTTGGACAAGTTTATTTCCTTGCTCTTTGTTATTAAGGTATTTTAAAGGTATTTTATTCACATACACTGCCAGTCATAAGTTTGGACTAATTCAAATTTGTTTCTCATGATGGCCGCCTTTTGACATCTGAAATATGTGAATTTACATTTACTTTGAATTTATTAATTTACCAGACACTTTTACCCATAGCTAACAATATAAGGTGTCTAAAATAGTAGGATTTAGGAAATTGTGATATTATTTATATGATATTATATATTATTATTTCTAGTCAGCAGGATGCAGTTAAAGTATTGGTTCACTCCAGAATTAAAATTTATGATGATCGCTCGCCCATGATCTCTATCTTTCCTAAAAACATTATATCCTGGCATGACAATAAGTGCCTCCGGAATATGAACAAGTTAACGAAGTTTCTGACAGTCCAAGAAAATCAATATTAGAATTTACAAGCAAGTTTTCCAGTTTGGGTGCCACTCTCCTAATATTTAAATGTCCGCCAAACAGTCCTTTAACTTTACATCGAGGATCCCACACAGTTCAAGCCTGATTAAGCGTTTGGGAAAACTTTGCGTTGCAAGGTCAGTTGGTTATTAAAGATAACAAGATTTCTGGCTGACCTGGTTGGCATTATTATTAGTGATCCTAGCTGGATGGTGAAACTTAATTGTACCATCACAGTAGCTGGGAAGACACGAAGTTCTGTCTTCACAACCATGCAATTGTCTACATTAAATGAAAATGTATGCTGTGTGTTATTATCAGCATACATGTAGCAATTGTGGGGGAAACCATTTCCCTGTATAATAAGTCCCAGCAATGTTGTGTGTATGGAGATAAGGAGGTTAAGGTGATGTGGTTCTGGAGAAATTGCTTGACCTGCTTTTAGTTTAATTAGACAAACATACAATAAGTTTATGTCTATGTGTGAATTTCTTTACAATACTGGCATTTTTGTCAGGAAAAAAAAAAGTATCTGCACACATGGGAATTCATTCAATGCTGTTTTAAAAGCTCAGAAAAATTCCGAGACGAAAACTCAAGACATTTGACAGAATGCAGATTTGGAATCTAGACAAGGAACCTAAAATGTTACACCTATATGTTATTTTATAGTTGTGATGACTTATTATTCTAAAATGTGATAAATAGTCATGACAAAGATTGAGTAGGTGTGCTCAAACTTTTTACTGGTAGTGTGCATGAATCATATGGCCTGTGACCTTTGTTAGCAGCAGTTTGTTTTTTAATAGGCTTTCTGTTTGCACACTTAAAGGCTTTGATTTATCCACTTACTGTGGCCTCCAAGTCCACCACCACTGCCCGCCACAATGCAGCCAACAAGATCCTGAAGAACATGTGTGAGCACTGCAACACCCTGGTCCAGCAAGCCATTATGGTACGAGTGCACATTCAGTTTGACTGTCTGAATAATAAATGTTTTATTAGGTACACACTGGCCCTTGGCTATGTTTCTCTTCCTCTTGGTTGCTTTTGCTCGCTCAGACAACCTTTATAGAATTAGCTATAAGAGTGAGCTAGAGGTTTGCATTAACAGAATTTGAGATTTTTTTTTTATAAACTATTCAAACTCACTCTCAGACTTGTACTCTCACTCATCTCGTCACTTGCATTCTCCACTGCCTGCGTCGTCACTTACACTTAACACAAATAAACCGAAAATATTTATCCAACAATTTGATTGGATTGCCAGTGGGGCCAAGAAGCTGAGATGGATAAATGATTAAATGGTTATATATGAATAAAATGAGACAGACTATAACTTATTATCTTTTATTTTATTTTATTATATTTATTTATTTTTCATACAGTATTTTTGTTTCTGCTTGTGGCTTGTCTCTTGTGTTTATTGCAGGAATATAATACATGTCATTCCATCAACAAATTTCTCAAAGAACATAAGCATATCCTGCATATGAGTAAAAACAAAGCTGAGGGGGTTTCCAGAGCATTATTCCTGTTCTCTGGACATTCAGCCTTCAGTTACTTGGCCATTGCCTTGGTCTTGTTACACAGTAACAAAATTCTCTTCAGCTGCCCACAGTATTTTGGGCAGTTGAACAGAACCAATGACATTTGAGTGTTCCACACACGACTTGCTGTCTCTTTTCAAACCCACCATGAATGAATTCTGTGAAATCTATATATATATATATATATATATAGTATATTTATACTCAGAAATATTTATTTTTGAAATGCTCATTTAAGAAATGCTCATTTAAAGATCAGAATGTGTTTGCAGATTTGGAATCTAGACAAAAAAAAAATAGATATATCACACCTACAGTACCATTTGTTTTATTTCATATTTGTGAGGACTTAGTATTCTAAAATGTGATAAATAGTCATGACACCTATTTTAATGGCACATGACTCAAGGTATATAAACCAAAAACAATAATGATATAAAAAAATATTAAAGGAACTTTCACTTTACTGCTAGTCAGAGTTTATTTATATAACACCATTTATACAGCAGCAGCTCACCAACATGCTTTACAACACATCATTAAACACATCAACCAGAATACCATAAAGAAAAATGAAAACAAATAATAAAACAAGAAATAATATCTACAGTGAAAATAAATGTATAAAAAGTCATGATCATAAAACTCATATAATGATTAGAATGTATAAGCCCACTGGCAGAAATAAGTCAGAAACCACATAGCTGGTCCACATCAAGTATTTATAGAAGCCGAATGGCCCAGTAGTCGTACTCAAAGTATTCACAATATTTTTTAATCATTTAAGGAACTTTGAAAACCAGTCAGAAGTAGTGAGCACTAATCTTGTGGTGATTGAAGTGGTGCATTCTCCAATAAAGAATGCAGTAAAATAATAAAATAAAAAAAATAAAAATAAAAAAAATAAGAAATAATGCAACCAATTGTATATTACATTTAATCTGTCTTAAAGGGAAACTCTACCCATTTGCATTAAGATTTCAATTGTTAAAAAACCCAGTCATACTATTGAATGGTCGTGCAACACTCTCGTTTTCCCCTGAGACGAGAGAAATCCGCTATTTACCTTTTTCCCTTCCAGTGTAAAGGGTGGGGGGGGGGGGGGATTTCTGTAAAGACTACAAGCACTACTGTAGTTCCCACCCTTTCAAACCCGCCCATAAGGGGTTGGACCTAATCTCTGACCTATCACAGATCAGTGCCAGTGCGTTAGATTAAGTTTTCACCGGCAGAAACTTTTTGAAAATATGGATGAAGGTGCTGAATACGCAGACGGATGCATTATGGATAGGGTTGGGTACCAAAATGCATATATTAAATTATAAATATATGATACTATTCTAATACAAATATGACCAACTTTCAATACATATTCATGTCTCCACCGGTGGAATTACCTTTTAATTAGCGATTTTAACAAATAGCGATTTTATTTTTATATAAAATGTTTTTATTAAACATTAAATGTTGTGTTTGTGTTTCCAAAATCACAGATTTCCCTATTAAAGATGCTACATTTAGTTTAATTTTGTTTGTAATTTAATTCCATTTAGTTAAGTCACACATGTACTATTGCCTCCACTGCCACATTTTTTGACAATGTAAAGTAAAACAGACTATAAACTATGGCCCACAGTGCTAATGTGTAAGTGATATAATAACCTTAAGACAATATAAAAATGAATACCATTCTGTCAAATTGTTTATTTTATGTATTCAAGATAGTAAAGGAGTGGCATCATAACAAAATCATAATAAATAACCTAATGTCTAAACACAAGGAGCTGCAAATAATAAATCAATATAACTTTTAATTATTGTATATCTGCAATAAAAAGTGTAAACACAGCGTATAATTATGTATTGGGGAAAAGTACACAAACAGCAATGATTGTTTAAATAAATGAGACAAATCCCACTATGCATTGATATACTGTAAGTTGGTGTTGCAGTCAGTGGAAAATGCAGGTTGTGATTATAAGTGACGTCACTGGCAGAGGAAGCGCAAGTCTGAGAGTGCAAGTTCAAGTCAGCAGCCAGACCCTTCTCAAACTCGCAGATCCTCTAGAGAATGAGACTTAGAAAGAGAAAAAGCTTGTCTGACAACATGGTAAATAACAACACTCGCTAAGGTACAGTATAAGCAGTGGTAAGCAATGCTTTTAAGGCAGAGCTTAGCCAAGGGTCAATTATGATCCAAAACATCTGCTAAAAGCGAAAATAGTCTTAGTAGAAGAACCACATGACTCCTGTTTCTGTCCATGTTCAGGTAAGTGAGGAGCTGATCAGGGTGGCTATTCTGTGGCATGAAATGTGGCACGAAGGGCTGGAGGAGGCATCACGTCTGTACTTTGGAGAGAGGAATGTCAAGGGAATGTTTGCCGTCCTGGAGCCCCTTCATGCCATGATGGAGAGAGGGCCACAAACTTTGAAAGAAACGTCCTTTAATCAGGTAAAAATGCACATACTTCACAAAAGAATATCATTCAAAATGTAAGAGAGTTGAGAAGATACAACCTTTATGTGCTTAATGTACTAATTAATTATTTTACCTCAGTTAATGGATGTTTTGAGTTTACAACAGTAATAAAACCACTGTAACACATGACTTCTTGTGCATATACATTAATCTTCAGTAAAATGTTTCCATTTTTCACAAAATGTGTTCTTTCTTAGCCTATCATTGAAAAAGATCCACTAGATGCAAAATCATTTTTTTAAATATAATTTCAAATATGTATTACCATTGTTTCCCACGGTCATGGAAAACCTGGATTACTACAATATTGTGGAATTGTAAAATTGTGATTTCCAGACCTGGAAAAGTTATTGAAAAGAATAAAATAGAATCTTAATTTTTTTGTTGGTATTATATTTTTATTTAGAATGCTTTGTCCTAAAATATTGAATCAGAGTGCAGCACTAAATTAAAAACACAGTGAAAATTGGTTTGCGGTGTAATTATTCTCAGTGTAGTTGTCAATAATCTTAAATAATAATAATTATAATAATTCATTACTTTTATATAGCGCTTTTCTCAGCACTCAAAGCGCTTTACATAGAGGGGGGAATCTCCTCAACCACCACCAGTGTGCAGCATCCACCTGGATGATGCGACGGCAGCCATAGTGCGCCAGAACGCTCACCACACACCAGCTTACTGGTGGAGAGGAGACAGTGATGAAGCCAATTGGTATATATGGGGATGATTAGGAGGCCATGATGGACAGAGGCCACTGGGCAAATTTGGCCAGGATGCCGGGGTTACACCCCTACTCTTTCGAAAGACATCCGGGGATTTTTTAATGACCACAGAGAGTCAGGACCTCGGTTTAACGTCTCATCCGAAGGACGGATCCACTGTTAAAGGGATACTCAAAAGTTTTTTTTTTTCATATTAAACTGTTATTCACTTAACTAAGACGAGTTGATACATACCTCTCTCATCTCAGTGCGTGCACTCAATTGTTCTGGCGCGTGAGACACTTTGATCACACTTAACTAGCCCAGTTCATTCAATATCAGCCAAGCAGAGAAGCGACCAAACACCTCCACGTTTTCCCTATTTAAATACAGTTACACGAGTAGTGTTACTCGACCAAGAATGATGACACAAAATAAAACGTTGCACATTTCTAAGCATGTAAAGTGGATAACTATAATGTATGGCGGAATACCAGAGCAAGTGCATGGGAGCACTTCGACACGGCGTAGTAATATCATCACTCGTGAAAAATCCTCTCCCTCTCCGAAATGATGATATTACTGCGCAGAGTCCATATATATATATATATATATGCCGAGTCAAAGTGCTTCCAATCACTTGCTGTGGTATTTCACTATACGTTCTATTCTAAGCGCAACGTTTTATTTTGTGTCACCGACCTAGGTCGAGTTACACTACTCGTGTAACTGTATTTAAATAGGGAAAACGTGGAGGTGTTTGGTCGCTTCTCTGCTTGGCCCATATTGAATGAACTGGGCTAAGTTAAGTGCAATCAAAGTGTCTTGCTCGCCAGAGCGATTAAGTGCACGTACTGAGACGAGAGAGGTATGTATCAACTCGTCTTAGTTAAGGGAATAACATAGTTTAATATGAAAAAAACGGTGGAGTATCCCTTTAAGATGCTGTCTAATCTATAGCCAAACAAGGTTGAGAACCATAGACATACTGTAGATCAATCTGCAAAAGCTGCATCAACCTTGTAAACTTTTTTTTTTTGTAACGTAAAGCAATCTAAGTTGCCATGCAACATTAATTATACGGTAAAATCAATTCATAATTGTAATTATATATAATATATAAAAAGTTGTAATTATATATAATATAGAAAATGTACTGGGACCTGTACTACTTGGAATTATATATAATATAGAAAAAGAAAAGGACAATTCAATATATATATATATATTGAATTGTCCTTTTCTTTTTCTTTCTCTTAACTACTTATCTGTGTATTCTTTTGATTAGAATGACCATTTTCTTCGGTGTTAGCCACTTTCATTCCATATATAAATGTTAACGAGTCGACTTTCATTCCACAGAAGAAAGTCCTTTACTGAAAATAAAGATGCTGACCTGCATCACTTTTTTTTTTCTTTTTTTTTACCAGACTTTATATATTTTTTATTTTATTATATCATGTATATCTGGCAGTGTTGATAAGATGTCAGATGTGAAATCGTATAAAAGTGGTGTGCTTTTAAAATTAACCTCTTGTTTCTGCCAGTAATAAAAGAAACCAAGGCAATGTAAATTTTTGAATTGGATAGTTTGTGTAACTTCAGCTATTATTTGGTCTTGTGGAATATATTTAAACAAATGTTACATGAAATTGCTTATTCTTGGTGGTACTAAATAAAATAAAAAGTAAGACCCCATTATTATTTTTTAAATTACAAAACAGCTTACATATTCTGCAACAAGTATTCAAACTTGTGAGTGCAACTGCATATTTTTACTAAAACATTTTAATAAAAAATTCCACGCAAGGACTTAAGTGAACATCTTTTTCATTGATTCCATGAAGTGGGCAGTTTAAAGGGATTCCCACAAATGAACTGAACGTCTCGGTTGCGCTTGCAACCCTCGTTCCCTAAAGGAGGGAACCGAGACATAGTCGAGACATAGTCGACTGAGGCGGAGATGGTACAGGGAAGTCACTGCTATTCCACAGGACCACTGGGAAGGCGTAACAGGATTTTTAATAGGGATGCACCGATACCTTTTTTTTTTTTTTTCAGAATCATTTTATAACTGTGGCTGTTGTTTCAGGCTTATGGCCGAGACCTGATGGAGGCGCAGGATTGGTGCAGAAAGTACATGCGATCAGGAAACGTGAAGGACCTGACGCAGGCCTGGGACCTGTACTACCACGTGTTCCGCAGGATCTCCAAACAGCTGCCACAGGTCTGCCAACAGTTGTTTTCTAATGACGTAGTGCTCAGAATAATCATTAGATCATCTATATCAGCCAGCAGCGATATCATAAATCATAATCATATAAAAACTTTTTTACTCCTGTACACACACCATGAGAGATATAGTTTTCATAGTCTATAATGAAGCGGTTGGGTGTTTTGAGAAGTTCACTAAAAAAAATTCACTAGCAGGTGAACAATAAAAAGGGATATTCAGAATGTGGCTTTCATAACGACAGATTTTATTTTTTATTTATTTATTTTTTTTTACCAGACTTTATATATTTTTTATTTTATTATATCATGTATATCTGGCTGTTGATAAGATGTCAGATGTGAAATCGTATAAAAGTGGTGTACTTTTAAAATTAACCTCTTGTTTCTGCCAGGATATAATTATGTTTGTTCATAAAAGTGTTAAAAGTTTAAACATTCTTGCATATTGCTTTGTCCACAGCTCACCTCTCTAGAGCTTCAGTACGTCTCACCTAAACTGCTTATGTGTCGTGATCTGGAGTTGGCTGTGCCCGGAACATATGACCCCAATCAGCCAATAATACGTATCCAGTCCATTGCTCCCTCACTGCAGGTTATCACCTCCAAACAGCGGCCACGCAAACTCACCATCATGGGTAAGAGCCAAAAAAAAATTCAGTTTTGCATAGGCTGTAAATTTGGTTAATACTAGGGGAAAAGAAAATGAACAAAAGACACAAATACACAGTTTTACATCTCATTAGGCTCATGGCTTGCTCTGAGCAATGGCCAACCATACTGTCAGTTTGTCTGACAGCAAGCATATCTTTCAAAACTGCCTGTTTAATATAAAATGCACTTATATTCACATACATTTCAATGCAAAAATAAAACAAAAATGAAAGCAGAGTAAAGTAAAGATACATGAGACATAATTTATGAGGGTTTTTTTTTTCCATACACATGCTATAAACTTGGTTTTAAATGAGAAGTTGGAGTTGAGTTTGATATGGAGAAACAAAAGCTTTCTCTGTTCTCTGCACACTGTAGGTAGCAACGGTCATGAGTTCATGTTCCTGCTGAAGGGCCATGAAGATCTACGGCAAGACGAGAGGGTCATGCAGCTTTTTGGCTTAGTGAACACTCTACTGGCTAATGACCCAGCCTCCTTGCGCAAGAATCTAAGGCAAGCCTCTTGCATTCATGCAATCAGAGCATCTTATACAGTGTCATTCTTTAAAACAATTTATATCAAGCAAATAAGACACAGCTAAAGCAAATAATATATTGATATTGATCTTCATTGATAATCTCACATTATTTATTTTCTCTGAAATGGCTTAATAAGATGATTTTGGTTTTTTGTGGAATCACCAATTGACGTTGTCAAGTAGATTCAGGAGTGGATCCAGAATTTTTGATGTAAGATGTGTGATAGGGTACAAATTAGTAGTCGACTGATTTGCAGTATTATATATCGGCCACCATTTAATCACAGCATTTTTAATCATTGACACATATGCAGACATCTTACTTCCCTTGAGGAAGATGAGATATATATTTCAAAAGACAAAATAATAACAATTTACACAGATCATCATGTTCAAAGTTAACATCATAATGTAGTGTTGCCTGCTTGAACATGCATGAATGAATGTTCACATTTTGTAATAGTTGTGTAAAAGTCCCTCAATTGTCCTAAGTATGAAAAGCTGGATCTCATCATCAATGCCAATGCAGGCTTCAGATAGTGGGCAACTTCACTACTCAGTGCAAAGCAAGGACTCAATCATTGATCATCGAGGCAGCTGCACATCATAATAAAAGAAACCAAGGCAATGTAAATTTTTGAATTGGATAGTTTGTGTAACTTCAGCTATTATTTGGTCTTGTGGAATATATTTAAACAAATGTTACATAAAATGGCTTATTCATGGTGGTACTAAATAAAATAAAAAGTATGACCCCATTATTATTTTTTAAATTACAAAACAGCTTACAGATTCTGCAACAAGTATTCAAACTTGTGAGTGCAACTGCATATTTTCACTAAAACATTTTAATAAAAAATTCCACGCAAGGACTTAAGTGAACATCTTTTGCATTGATTCCATGAAGTGGGCAGTTTAAAGGGATTCCCACATATGAACTGAACGTCTCCGTTGCGTTTGCAACCCTCGTTCCCTAAAGGAGGGAACCGAGACATAGTCGACTGAGGCGGAGATGGTACAGGGAAGTCACTCCTGTTCCACAGGACCACTGGGAAGGCGTAACAGGATTTTTAATAGGGATGCACTGATACCTTTTTTTTTTTTTTTTTTCAGAATCAATCCGATCCGATACCGATCCAAAACCAGCGCAGTTTTTTTTTTTTTTTATTATTAAAGTAGTTCTTCACTTTTAAAAAAAACTTTTGCTGATAATTTACCCACCCCCATGTCATCCAAGATGTCCATGTCTTTTTTTCCTCAGTCGAAAAGAAATTAAGGTTTTTGATGAAAACATTCCAGGATTTTCTCCATATAATGGACTTCATTGGGAACCAAACGGTTCAAGGTCCAAATGAGAGTTTCAGTGCAGCTTCAAAGGGCTTTAAATGACACCAGACGATTATAAAGTTGACAGAGTATCAGATCGGTGCATCCCTAATTTTGAACTCGCTGCCTGTGGCTCAAGTGAGGTACTGCAGTCCAGTAGCACCAAGTCCCAAAAGGTTAAAGAGGCGGATTCAGTCTCTTCCTCCCCTCAGGAACCTGACTATAAATCGTGCTTCCCACGTATTTGTATCCACTGCATTATGATGTGCGTCAATACAGAGGCAATCAACATTTTGAGACAGCCCTCACTCCAATCCATTAGCAGGAAAGAAGCTCTGAAGTGATCGAACACTTTCAGGATCTCCTCAGGGAGAGAAGAATCAATTCAACAAAAAGGTTACACTTCTAAGGGGGAGCGTGCCTTATTTTGAGAGGGTGCTCTCACAGAAGTGATGGTCTCTACAGCATAAAAATTCTAGCGGTAGTAACCAGAACCTCCGCATCCCATTCTTTTTAGAACCAGACCTGGAACTCTCCAAGGTCTAAACGCAGGTGCCATCATGCCCCATCCCTGACAATGTACTCAGAGGAAAGAGTCAGGAAGTGCTGTCAAGAGGAGAGGTCTGTTTGGGCCAATAAGGGGCAACTAGTTAGGCCTGCTCCATCTCCTCCCTGCTTTAGCACAGTTGTGTGCAAGGCGGCTCACTGGCAATGCATTTTTGTGCGGCCCCGAAGTGGTCCCAAACAGTTGTACCGCTCGTCAGTGGCATGATAGAGCAGGCCAGAAGTAATAAGTGGAATGAAGCAACCTCAGACCACTACAAATTCGCTGAGTAGCGGTGTCGAGTAGCAAGGTGAACTGCAATCAACTCGAGGCAATGGATGCCAATGCAGTTGGAGGGCCGCCCAGACCTCCGTTACTGCATGCCCTCAGTGCTGAACCGGTCTTCATATGGAGGAAGCCGAGCGGCTGCATCTACCATATGCCCCAGGAGCCTCTGAAGAGTTTCAGTGGGACCCTTTCTCACTTCTATACAGCACTAACCATCCACACCCTCTTTTCCAGAGATGCGGTGGACTGAATCCATCTCCAAACTAGAAAAGAGATCCTCAGTCCGTGGACTAGTTTACTCTTTCCCAGTTGACCTGAGGACCCAACTGGCTATGGGTACTTGAAGGTTAGGACTTTGTACTGATAATTCACACCTTTCGAACGCACGAACACAGGATGGCCTGTGGTGTGGAATGATAGAGATCTGAAGTACATGTGTCTCAGGTCGAACGCTGCAGACAAATCTTGGGGACGGAGCATTTGGAAATGCATCTCTGTGTAACAAATTGAACGGAGGCTTTCGAAAAAGGGCACGTCTCAAATAACACAGGACCAAGATAGTCATGACTAGGGTTGGGTATCGGTTGGGTTTTATCCGATACCAGTACTTACTCTGTATTTTTTAAACGGTTCCGGTGCTTAAACGGTTCTTGAAACGATACTTAAGAAAACGAAACCGCACACACTTTGTCAAAAAATAATACCTTTTTATTTACAGGGCCAAACTAGACACAATATTAACTTAAATCTTTAAACAAAATAAATACAAGTAACATATGGTAATAATAATAAATAAACCAATATAAAATAAAAATTCACATTTACATAATATCAAAAGAAAAAATATTGTGTCAAACAATGTAATAATACTGGAGATTAATATATTACTACCAGGGAAATGTAATATCGACATGGCTACAGGTTCCCATGTTTTGTCTGCTTGAACCAGTCATGCAAGTTATCTGGTCATTGTACTAGTTACCCAGCGCTTAGCTTGGCGAGTTTGGTATTTCGCTCCCACTGCGTCTTAAGCCTAGTTCACACTACGTGATTTTAAGCCCGATTTAAGCCCGATCAGGGCTGTTATCGCGTGCAAATCGCGGGCGATTAGCGGACGATTAACGCTCGCCAATCCGTTAGTGTGAAAGAGCCAACAACGCACCAAAGACAGCTCGCAGACACCTCGCAGACAGGTCACCGAGCTCAGAAAAATATGTAGCATGCTAGATATCTCGAGCAGTCGCGCGACTCAATCTCAGTGATGTCATGAGTACAGCCAATCATAGGAACGCATGGGTTGAGGACACCAGGTAAATCTTACTTTTTCTTTTCTTTTTTGCATTTTTTTTTCTCAGAGCAGATCGTCGAGCAAACAGTGTGCAGCACTAGTTTCTGTCTGACGTCCATATTCGCGCGTTGTGTTCTTCTCTGCAGTTTCGCGTCATTTCTGGTTCGTTTTATTGCGTGGTTTTTCGTTCCAAAACATGGTTTCTAGACCAGATAGAATCGTGTTGTTGTCAACTCGTTATTTGTTTGATTATTTTCAGGATTTAGACCGTACAATAGTACTGAAACAGCTCTCATTGAGTCACAAATGATATGCTCTTATCATCCGATCGTGGTTGTATCTCTATGTAGTGCGTTGTTAACTCGTGTAGTGAGTTACCTCCTGTTGTGGATCAATCACGTTGTGTTGTGTGGTGTGAACAGCTAAACAACTTGAACACTCATGATTTCACTGAGAGCAAGTCATGTAGTGTGAACTGCACAGTTCAGCCCGACATTTTAAAATCATGTAGTGTGAACTAGGCTTTAGCTACGCAGCTTTGAGCTTTGAAACCTATGAAAGAGAACGTCTCTGGTTACTGGTATAACCCATGTTCTCTGAATAGGGAACGAGACGCTGTGTTCGCTGCCAAACCCCTGGCACTGCCAACAAACTTCATTTTTTTACAGAGAAATCTGAAGAGCAGATTATGCGCACGCTTAATAACGCTTGATAACGGCTCCCTGATACCCGCAAATTAGTTAAAATCTCCCGGAATCTAGAGCGAGCAAGCAAGATTGTGCATGTGAGGCAGAACAGGCAGTGCTCCAATAAACCATATAGTGCGCACACGGCGGAGAGAGTGAGAGACTTTGCAGGTGTGAGCCTCATAACACAGAGACTCAGGCCTGAAATCAGGCACCGAAATTTTCGTTTTTATTCGGTCTGGTTACTACAGTTTACGTCAGAAACGGTTCCCTATTGGCACAGAGTCTCGGAACCCAACCCTAGTGCCATCCCAGGTCATGCTGAGAGTTAAGACTGATGTTCAGGGCTCCTTTGTTCACAGTTAGACAAAAAGGAAAGATCAGCCATGACAAATTGGCCAGACACCTTTCATTTCTGGAGCTTGGGCACACAGTATGGATGGAGACGACCTGTAGGTTTGACAAACTGGTTACGGTTTCTGGAAAGGTCCGCCAACCCAACAGCTACATTATCCAGTCTAACAGTAAGACCTATGCAAGGAACCGCCGTCACCTTCTATGGGTAGCTGAAACGGACGTTCCTATCACTACCATGTCAGTGCCCCGAACTCTCTTTAACCCCAAGCAAAGCCATCTGCTGCGGTGCCACATGACACACCTCTCTAGAGAGTACAATGAAGTATAGAAGCCGGCCCTCACATCGGCTGGAGGGAGTGTCTGCTTTGCGTCCTTCGCCAGTAGGTAGTAAGACTCCCTGGCGTGATCCCATTCAGTCGACGTTGAATGTGAACGACTGAAAGGGAACTGAATTTAAGTTTTTAATCATATATGGCCTTACATTGC